GTGTTCTGACCTGCTTCCCGCTCTCACGTCTGTGTGGAAACTCAGCTCATCCTTCAAGATTCAGTTCCGACTTAACCGCCTCCAGGGACCTTCCCTGGCCCCTGGTCACTGGAACCCCGTCTGCGATTATGTGCCGGTCCTGCCAAGTGCCTGGTGCCTTATCTGCTTGCACCTCCGTTTCCCTGTTGAATGAGCTCCTGCAGGGCAGGGCTTTTCACAAGCAGCAGCCAGTGAGGGGGGTTGATGGTGTAGATGGAGAGAGAGGGAGGGAGAGGGAGGGAGAGAAACATCCATGATGAGAGAGAACCAGGGATCGGCTGGGGAGGGAGAGGGAGGGAGAGAGAGGGAGGGAAGGACCTTATGTGAAAGCAACTGGAAAGAAGTAGCTGAAGAGCCCTACTCCCCAGCGATTCTCCACCGTGGCTGCAAGCATTTCTGAAACATGCACTACCCAGCCATTTAGTCGGGGCACTGCCCTCTGCTCCCTTAGATTCTAAAAAAATAAAATGAAAACAGCCAACACAATAGCTGCTCAGTGTGAATGAATCAGAATTATACCTAGTTTTTTGGTCAGATCAGCAAAAATTATCCTATATTGGGTATGCCACTGAATTTTGGTAATTAGTTTGTGTGCCATGAGATGAAAAGGTTGAATTCGCTGCTCTAGCCTAATGTGGAAATGTGGCCTTTTAAAATTATTAATGCATGGAAGGCATTATTGCAAAGTAAAAGGAAAGAACTGGTAGAAAGGAAAACACTTAATCCCCCTCTTTATTTGAAAAGGAAAATGAGTTATTTTCCAACACTGGCCAGTCATGGTCACTAAACCTAAGTTTGTTAAGATGATAAAATTTGGAGGAAATAAAGGGTTGCCCATATTTGGTGACATTTGTTACTTTCAGTTGTGACCTGTGTGTCCCCCGTGCTCTGCAGCACGCTCGCCTGGCTCCACGCAGACACACTTCCGAGATGGACACTTGCTCTGAAGTGGACTGAGCTCTGCATCGCTGTGTAAGGCTCCGTGGACACGGCTGTGCCCTGTCTTCAAAGGCTGTCACACTGTCGTTGGCACAGTCGGAGCTCAGCCCATTCCCCTCGCCGAGCTCACTAAGAACCCCTGTGTGCTTTCCCATAGCTCAGGGATGGGCAACCCCTGGCACCCGTGCCAAACATGGCACGCCAGTAACTTTTGCTGGCACGAGAAACCCTCTCTTATAATCTTCCATTTACAATTTTTTTCTTAATATCGACTTTTTTATTTTTCAGATAAATTCAGTGTAGGTGCATCTTAGATAAATAAATAATTTTACATAACATGTATACATTAAAAAATAAATGTATTTTTCATCATCATATACTGTGTTTTTGTCGCTCGAATGAATTTTATCATTTCTTCAAGGTTCTTCACATACGTACACCTTAAGAGATATCAAGTAGGCGTAACATGTTCTCAAAAAATTAGGGTTGGTACCCAGAAGAATTTTGAGTCAGAGATTTTGCTGGTTTTGGCACGCACTCACAAAAAGGTTGCCTACCCCTGCTATAGCTCATGCAATGGCTTGAAACCAGCATTTATGTGGTTTGAAAAATTTCTGCAACTTTTGCAAAAACTGAAGTTGAAATATGCTTGAGAGAGTGCTCACTGCTGTTTCAGAACGTGTTCCTCGCACGTATGCGTGGCAGCAACTTGGGAAGTTCCCCTTACACCCAACGCGCACCACCCGGCACAAGCGGTCCTGGCAGCCGCTGCGGTGTTCCAGGCTGGCCCTTTCCTGCTGGCTCAGAGGCATTTGTAGCTCAGTGTCAGAGTGTGTTTTGGGGTAAAATCTGTTTTGCTCTTTTTTCTTCTAGTTAAACTTGTCATCCCGTGGGTTGACATCCAGAAGTTAGAAAAAACGTCCAACGCCTTCCTGACGGCCACCATCCGCGTCAGCACGCCCAGCAAGGAGCGGGACTTCTCCATGTTCCTGGACCTGGAGGGGGCGCTGCAGGTCATGGAGCAGCTGGCCGACGTGACGCTGCGCAGGCTGCTGGACAACGAGGGCTTTGACCTGGACCCCCCCCTGCAGGAGCCGAGCCAGATCACCAAGAGGTGAGCCCCGGCCAGGCCCTCCGGGACCAGCTGCCAGCCGCCACGTTGCCCCGCCTGCCTGGCCTGAGCTGTACGAGCCTTAACTTCCCCTCCTAGCAGAACCCACTGCTGTGTTGTTAATCATGACAGAGATGCAGTCATTGGTAGCGATTATTATTCATCTCCTTTATGCCATAGACTTTGATTTCTGGGTTCAATTCCTTTTTTCAGATGTTACTTCAAAATTGATTTTCGTAAAAATATACTTCCAGAAAATGTAATACGGTAGCCTCAAGCTAGAATTCTATTCAGCATTGGGCTTTATTAATGAGCATTAAGAAAATTTATATTTTCATATTACATTACTTTGTAGAAAACGTTTTCAGGACAGCTGGGTTACGTTCACACCAACTTATTAGAAATGTGCTTACTAAGTGTCTCCACGCTCTGAATCGTTGCCCCAAATTGATATTCGTCAGGGAGCTTGAGGTATTTGTCATCTTAAAGAAGCTCCACGTCTCAAATCAGCAGGTGTAGGAATGGGCTCAAATGAAGGCATTTCCGTGGCTCTTCCTCTGGAACACCGACCCGGCTCCTTGCTGGGCCCCATCCCAACCCGAAAGTCCCGCTCGACTGAGCCCCCTTGTGCTGCAAGAGGTAGCGTGGGGACCTGCTCCCCGGCAGCCTACCCATGAGCTATATGTCAGCACTATCTACTTCCTTTTTTTTAGTTTTCTTTTTTTTTTAAGAGAAAAAGCATGCACACAGGCCCGCCCTCCAAGCTCACGCTGCCTCATAGAAAAGACACCCACCGCAGCCCAGCAAGCCACCGGGCAGGGAGGCAGGCAGGCTGTGGGCCCGCAGGGGAGGCGTGGCCTGGGCGCTGCGTGTGCTCCCCTCCCGGTGCC